CCCTATTAAACTATACTCATTATACCACCACACAATAATAATAGTAATAATAGTTCAGTACACTCTACTACATGTACTTATAATTAAAAACCTTACTGTAAATGTGCCACAGTTATTTAAAAGCCTATTATTAATTTGTAGTCCCTATCACACTACACCACAGACGCACTAGACTATACAACACTAGTCTATATTATATGACATTATATTTAGAGTAAACATGACCCAGTAGCCAAAAGCTAAATAGTCTCTGTAAGTATGTCATCATACACTAAAGACTACTAAACAATACGTATATTACATTTTACTACACCACACTACTGGCCACAATAATACACTATACACTTATTTATTGAGAAATATTACTGTAAATAAATGTGCAGCAGTTGCAATTATAATCTACAACAGTCTAGTATAGTAAACTAGTCTATTCTGTACTATATTATACTATGTGTATGTGTATATTATATCTGAGTGCTATCATTGCTTACTAAAGTCTACTAAACTATAACTATTATACGTCAAGGGTTCACGAACTAGTCAATCAAAGATCAAACTAGGATCATTATAATTCACAATCTAAATGGCCCCAGTTTGAAAACCACTGTTCTACATTACACTATTTAACACTCTATATAAACTATAAATATATATATTGATTTATTTGAAAAACTTATGTCAAAAGTTGCTGGATGGATAAACTCTTACACTGTACTATAGTTCTCAGAGGAAACATAACCTGGCTATGTTTCTACACAGTCGTACAATAAACTAATATACTTTATTAAACTGTCTATAACATTTATATCGTCTATAACAACATACAACACCTTAATACTGTATGCTACAGCCCACTATACTCTACTGTACTACATTATATATATATTCCATTCCATTATATATATATACATATATATGGAAAAGAATTACTGTAAAGAAGTGAAGTTTATCAGAAGCCTTTTACATCTAGACCTACAGGGGTTCCCAACCTAGGGGTAGGGACCCCCACTATGGGTCACTGAAGCTCCATGTGGGGGTCACGAGGCCTTCTTGATTTTAAGGCGTGTTAGAAAACTTGAAAAATATACACCGTAGGTTCTATATCTCAGCATTTGACTCACTTAAAGTGGAGAAAAGTAAAAGTAAATTGTCTAATAAAACAAGAAAACACTGAATTTGTCCCCCAAAAAAGTCTGTATGATTGTTAATAAAATATAAAACACTTCAAATACAGAGAGAATAGTATGAAAAGTTACTGAGTTTACTGTACAGTTTAATATAATAAGTCAATATGTCACTTAGGTCCCTTAAGGAAAAAGGTTGGTCTACACTTTACTGGTTTCCCAGAGTAAACATGACCCCCCTTGTAGACCCCAAAAAGTGGTCTCTGTAAACCTGTATGTGCATGCTCCTTTTATGAGAGCCTACATTAAGTCTAATTAATGTCTAGATTCGCCCCCAAAAATAACCCCCAAGTGTAAACAGTAACAGGACAGCAGGCCCACTGAGTCTAAAACGTCCATCTTCATCATTTGTCATTGACAGCCGCCGGGGGTATATAGTGTTCACCAGCCGAGCCAACAGATGTGGCAAAACAGGCCTCGCCAGAGTAGAGTGACATAATTATCTGTAAAAGGCCAGCACCGTTTGTATTTCTAATAATAATAAATAAATAAAAACAGCTTCCTAGTCCAACAACAACAACCCAGAGAGAGAAAGAGAAGGAGAGAGGGGACACAACCTACCGAGCAGCAGCAGCCGATGCGTCTGTTTATACTCCCGTTTGAGCTCCTTCAGCGCCCTGTCAATATTCTTACTGACTTTCTTCGCCTCCTTCTCGGCCTCCTTCTCCTCCACCAGCAATTTGTCCCAGTTTTTCTGCTTTTGGGTGCTTGCCTTTTGAAGCAGCGGTAAGCGTCGGCCGCGGTCCTTCCCTGTCCCCTTCCCGCTGCCTCCTCCACCTCCACCGCCGCCACCACCACCACCTCCGCCGCCACCGTTTTGTATGAGCACACCGTCGGTACCGGTGTCTCCACGGCGGTGCTCCCCGGCCGGGAGCCTGGCAGGGTCCCCGGGGCGCACCGGGCCGCCGCCGCCGCCGCGTAGCGACGAGCTCTCCCCGCATCCCCCGGTGTCCTCCTGGCGAGCTCCCCCGGCGCGGGTCGGCACGGCGGCGTCCGGAGGCTGGTCCGAGTCCGAGGTAGCGTTGGAGATAGACCCGCTCAGGTCCCCGAAGAGCCGGGGACGCAAACTGTAGCACAGCCCCATGTTGAAACCAATATTTGTCTGTGAATGTGATTTTTCATAAATTAAAATATCCCAAAAAAATCGCAGTTGCGCCACCAGCCCTAACGAGCCATCGTTACATTGGAGCTCCAGCGGTGCGTTTTAAGTCCGAATAAGAGCCGAAAAATGTGAATGAATTATGCTCCGACATTTGCTATATGTCATTTTGCATTTTCCCCAGTCAGCCTTCGCTTCGTAGTTTAGTGGATCACCTGATCCTTTAGTGGACACTGCGGGTCCATCTTACCGTAAGTAACCAAAAGCACAACCTCGGGAAGAAAAGCCTCCCATCCGCTGCGCAGACAGTCCACAATCCCTCTGCACAGCTGTTAGGTGCAATGCACGGCACGTCATGTTACTACAGTATGGCCATTTCGAGAATGCTGGTCATGATTTTCATTCCTCACATTTCATGCCTGCATGTCTCTAAAGACACCTACTGGCTCTGTAGATACTGAACCTGCTTCTTTATCATCTGAGGAAAATCTGACTCATGGCTGTTTTGTTATAGTTTTTTGTCTGTGAGTGTTTTTTTTTTGTCCTTCTTATATAAAATGACAAGCGAGTTGGAAAATAAAAGATGATGTTTTAAAACTTCTAATGCAGATTATTGGGGTTGTTTTAGGCTTTTTAATGTGAGCTGCACTGAGATCTAGCTTTATTTGCATATATGCTATATAATGTGATTATGTCAGTTTAATATAATTTATTTATCAGCTATTTGATTTTAATTATAGTCTATTTTATTAATGTGAGGTTTTCTAAAAGTCCCATAAAGCCAGTGTCATTTATTAATTATGTGAATATATAAGACGTGTTTTGAACCCTTCAAACAGTCCAAAAGTCCCTGTAAATATATGTGGATGTCTTCAAATTGGGGTCCTAGGGTTGGTTCTCAAGGACTCCCCTGGAAAATAAGATAAAATAATTTACTATTTTGTTTTTAGTTTAATTTAAATGTAATAAAACTCACCACAATACAGCCTAAAATACAATATTTTGACTTTAACAGTCTCCTAACTCACACTGATTGTTGTTTTTCTGCTGAATTTAATGTTTTTTTAAATTTATTTACTGATCAGGGTCCTCTGTGACACGTGTAATCACTTATAAAGGTAAGAAAAAGTTGGGTTTACCTGAGTTTATAAGAGGCCGAAGTCACAATCAGCTGCAGGGTGGACAATGAACCACTAGATGGAGCACTTGTAACACACATGACCTACAGCTCAGGCCAGTTCATACATTGTCAGTACAGGCAAAGCTCAAACTAACTTTAACAACAATACCAACTGGCCCTCAGAAACCCTGGGGCCCCTAAAAACCCTAAATTCATTGCATGTTATTTGAGTTTTGGTAACGCACTGCTAAAGTACAACATCAACTATAACCTATAAATCTGAGGCCCTGTGTTACAGAGGGGCCCTGTGTCAAACACCTTTATGGCATTATTTTTGTTTATATTGTGCTGTCTATGTTTGTGGGAGGGGCCAATACTTCACTGTTAATACAGTGTGTTACAGCCACACCCGTAATGTGATCATATGGAGGTCTATATGTCTTTATATGTGCCTAAATACTATATCTGTGCCTCTCTCTCTCTCATATATATATATATATATATATATATACAGCTTATATATCAGAATCAGAAATACTTTATTGATCCCTTTGTTTGTTACAGTTGTTCTACTCACACACGTTTAATAGTAGTTGTTATGGTTATTAATTTAATTATAAATCAGAATTTCAAATAGTGTATTTTTTGAGACTAAATCAATAAATTATTGGCCAAGTTAACATGTTTATTTTTAAAATGTTTCAATGTCGCAATGTTGTGTTTTTTTTAAATTCCTTTAGTCTTTCGCTCTGATGTCATCGGAATGTTGTCATCCAAAGATCAAAGCAATAGAATGTTGCTTTGATACAAAGGCGAACATTCTGTCAGAAAATATAGATATAGGATCCAAATCAACCTGGTTCAGTTCACATTCTTCAGGACACTTTCACAAGGA